AAATAATTTATATTATAATATATAATTTATTTTAAAAATATTAAAATTTAATTAATAAATAATAAAAATAAAATTAAATAATTCCTAAAAAATATCTCTTTTTAAAAAAATATCCTAAAAATACTTTTATGTCTGTATTTTATATATAAATGTTTATATATACTATTTTTGTCATAAGTCTATTTTTAGATTCTTAAATTTAAAATAAATTTATAGTTTATCTTTCAACTTTAAAATTGGATTTTTTTTAGTAAGGTATATAAATTCAAAAAACTTGTTTTAGTCATTTTTTTTTCATCAAAATACATCTCTAAAATATTAATTTTAAATTTAAAAATTAAAAACAAATTTAACTCATTAAAAAATAAAATTTTAAATATATTTTTAGTTTCTTAAGGATAAATAAATTTGTTTTTCTATCTTCAAACTTCAAAAGAAAAAATAGTTAGATATATTATTTTAGTGTAAAACCTCTCTTAGAAAGACTTATTGTTGTCTCAATTCAGAACATTTAGCAAATATAAAAATTGATCTTTTTTGGAGTTCCTTTTTATAAATTTGAGTGATATTATGGACAATTGTAATATTGTATTTAAGTGAGTTATGAGAGTCTTTGGCCAGAGGTTCAATTTGATTCCGAGAGGAAAAGGTATGTAAGATTTTTTTTTCATTGAACTACATCACTAAAAATAATAATTTAAATTAAAAATTAAAAAAGAATTTAACTCATAATAAAAAATATATAGTTTTCTTTCAAGAATATTTCATATCATATATTGCTTCCTATGTAAAGTGTGGAATTTTTTTCTTAAATAATATTTTTTTAAAACAAAATTACCAAAAGAACATCTATTACACATTATTTACTCAAATAGACATGTTTACCGTTTACACTCAGAATTTGATTCCCGGGAAACCGAATTCTGAGCACTGTTATTTTTTTTATATTTTTTTTTTGTGCTCAGAATTCGATTCTCGAGGAACCGAATTCTGAGTAGTGTTTAATTTTTTTTTTCATTTTGGGCTCAGGAATGTGTCAATTTTGGAACTGGAACGGGCCGTTCTACTTGGAACGGGCCGTTCTACTTGGAACGGGTCGTTCCGATCCACTCGTCATGTGTATATATTTTTTATCTGGAACAGGCCGTTCTGATTGTAAAACGCTCCGTTCTGAATCCAGTTTTCCTCTTCCTCAGAAAATAAAACGCAAAATAATAATAATAATAACAACAGTGCTCAGAATTTGATTCCCCGGGAATCGAATTCTAAGTGTGAGCAATAAAAAGGTTTATTTGGGTAAATAATGTAATAATTTTTTTTTTTGGTAATTTTTTTTTAAAAAAATATTAATTGAGAAAAAAATTCGTAAAGTGTGTATGTTGATAACACATGTCTTTTAGGCATGTAATCCCGTGTAAGGCGGATATAGACTCCCTTCAGTCCCTTGAAAACCTCTTCTCAGTTGTCGCAGCACACGCACTACATTTTTTGAAAATAAATGATGCATATCTTTCTTTTCCATTTCATTTTGGAATATGGAGTTTGTCTATCATGCAAGTTGTAACATGTTAACAAACATTAAATATTTACTTTGACTACTTTTTTAATAAAGAGATTTTCAAAATTATAAAATTTCTCAGTCATATTTAATTTTTTTCTCAATAAAAAAATTATTTCTTAATATAATTAGGGATGTTAATAAGACGAATAGTAGTTCTATAATACCCTTTTCGTCACATAAATAGAGTTTTTTTACTCAAATAATACTATTTTAAAAAAAATTACCCAAATAGTAATTGCAAATTTATTTTCCCAATTAGCACCAATTACTATTCACATTCGGAACGGACCATTCTGAAAGCAGAACGAGCCTTTCCGAATTAAAAAATAACACATGGAAAACAAATTAGAACCGACCGTTTCAAAATCAAAAATTAGCACATAAAAAATGGAACCAGAACAGCTCGTTCTGCTTTCAGAACGGGCCGTTCTGACCTACAAATAATTTTTTTTTTCGATTTTCACTTATCAAATACCAAAACTCAGAAACTAACATCAAATAATTCAATTTATTGAATATTAACATTATAAATATATCTAAATAAATTTATTAAAATTCAATACAACAATAAAGATCAATAGTGGCAGAAACTGATTATGTTGTTTTCTAATGTTCATTTCTGTTTTAATCCCGCTAGACTTTGGCCGAACCTTAGAAAGTTCGCTTGAGTTCTAGATTTGGCCACAAAGTTGGACCAGTGTAAGTAGGCCAATAATTTTCATGTCGGAGCTCTCCAAATAAAATGTTTGACCTGCTGGGAGATTTATAGTAAGGCTAAATGAAATATGGTATGATTGTGACAAGTTCCAGAAAGGTATACGAAGGATAGTTTGGAGAGCTCTGACATGAAAATTACATCCGAGAAAAGTTTGACCCGCTGGGAGATTTACAGTAAGGCTAAATAAAATGTAGTATGATTGCGGCAAGTTCCAGAAAGGTATACGAAGGATAGTTTGGAGAGCTCCGACATGAAGATTACATCTGAGAAAAGTTTGACCCACTGAGAGCTTTACAGTAAGGCTAAATGAAATGTGGTATGATTGCGGACAGTTCCAGAAAGGTATACGAAAGACAGTTTGGAGAGCTTCGACATGAAGATTACATCCGAGAAAAGTTTGACCCGCTGGAAGATTTACAGTAAAGCTAAATCAAATGTGGTATGATTGCGACAAGTTCCAAAAAGGTATATGAAGGACAGTTTGGAGAGCTCCGACATGAAGATTATTGGCCTACTTACACTAGTCTAACTTTGTGGCCAAATCCAGAACTCAAGCGAACTTTCAAGGGTCGGCCAAAGTCTAGCAAGATTAAAACAGAGATGGACATTAGAGAACAACATAATCAGTTTCTGCCACCATTGATCTTTATTGTTGTATTGAATTTTAATAAATTTATTTAGATATATTTATAATATTAATATTCAATAAATTTAATTATTTGATGCTAGTTTCTGAGTTTTGGTATTTGATAAGTGAAAATCAAAAAAGAAAAAATTTATTTGTAGGT